CCGAATCGGAGTCCGGGGCGTTGCGCCGTCTGCCAGCTCGCTGGCGAGTGCGCCGCCCGCGCTCTCGCACCGAAGGCAAATCGGATTCGGACAAGCCGTAGTAAGCCAGAAAATGAAGAAGCGGAGGAGGTCCAGGACCAGGGACGGAGGCGGAGGAGCAGGACGGGACGGAAAAGGCGCGGGGAGAGGAGGAAGAGGAGGAGGAGGAGGAGGAGGAGCAGGAGGAGGAGGACAAAGGGAAGAGAAGGGCGACTAGGACCCCGCATGACCATTCCGTGGATGGGGATAATGGTGATGACTGGCCCTTCCAGCAAGTCGCCATGGGTGCGTCGCCGCTGGACGGCGAGCAATTAGGACCCTTCTTTAGCATAATCTGCAGGAATCTTGCGGGTATCATCGAGACAGGCAGGTGGCGCCGGCGAAATACAACTTACAATGAGCCGCAGCAGGTCCAAAACGCTCCCGTGACAATTCCTGGGCGTCTGTAGAACGTGGCAACATGGCAGTGTATTCAGACAACGGCACTCATGCAAGATCCTGCTCCGCTGCGGAGTGGATGATAGAGCCAGGGTACCGTGGCAATTTCTTAACACACACACCATGGCGCGGACACATCTGGCTGTAACCGTGTCGTCTTTCACGGCAGAACCGATAGCCCTGGAACAGGGCTCCGCATCGTACAAGACCTTTTTTACGCAATCCGCAGGACCCCGTCCGAAGAGACAGTATCGGTTTCACAGGTCAGGTTTACACCTACTTCGCAACACGCAGTCGAGACAGACATGCCAATATTTTTTGGGGGAGCTTCAAGCAGCGCCGAAAGAAAGGACACTTAGCAGAAGGATGCTGAAGGAACTGAGGATCAACATAAGATGAGGAGCTCCTCCTCGTCCTCCCTCCACCCCCCATTTCTCCTTCACTCCCTCATCTTCTCTCTCCGCCTCCGTTTCATCCCCGCCCCCCCCCCCCCCCACAATGTGCCCCTTCCTCTCCCCCTCCTCCTCCCAGCTCGCTCGGAGATCGTGCTCCTGTTCCTTCACGCGACTCCGCTGCTACTGCTGCTCCTTCTCCTCGTCCTCCTCTCCTCCTTTCCTCCTCCTCAAGGCCCGCCGGGCCCCCGACCACCGCCACGACGATGATGTAGGGGTAGATGATGCACATCATCACGAGCGCACCACACGTGCCTCTGGGCTGGAAGCAGGGCAGCAGGGTGGGCAAAGCCAGTGGGGGCTGGCTGGAGGGAGAGAGCAGCTGATACCCGAGCCAAGGCTGAAAAGGCAACAGCTCTCTCCCAGGAGTAGACGATGCACATCGTCAGGAGCGCACCACACGCACCTCCGGGCTGGAACCTGGAGGGCCCCCCTCCTCCAGAAGGGGTCTCGCCAACGGGCTTTCTTTCTCCTGGAGGCGACAGGTCGAACACGGAGTGCAGTCGGTTGTCACCGTCGACTGTCGCGCCTCGAGCTGGCGAGCTAGTCACACCAAATGAGGACGGCAATTGCAGTGCCCCCCGCCTGACGTGCGCAAGGCCTGCAAAAGGATGGGGTGTTTGTGGGGGGAGACAGGACGATGGAGAGAAGCAGCGAAGAGGGACGAGGCGGGGGGTGAACGAGAAGCAGCAGGGAGAGGCGGAAGGAAGCTCGGACCTGCGATGTCTTGATCTTTGGGACACGAGGCTCCCAGAGGCCTAGGCTTAGGTCGGGCATGTCCTCCTACAAGGGGATGTTGGACGAACCAATGGGAAAGTACCAAAACAAACTCAATTTTTTCTTAAACATAGTCGACAAATCGTCTCCATACGACTTTTTGACTATCCTTGAATATGCCCCCTGTAGAAGGACATGCCCGGCTTGAGCCTAGGTCACTTCCGCGGGACCAGCTCTTCGTCCTGAGCACAAGTTTGACCGCCCAGGGGCCCGGCGAGGCCACCCAGGAGGCCAACAACGGCGACAAGCCTCCGACGTGATTGTTGTTGTTGGCGGCGCGGGCACGCCAGGGGAGTGCCAGGAGTGAAGGGGTCCACGGACACACCAAAAAAGAAGCACAAATCCCAAGAGTCCTAATATTTCCCTTACTATTTCCTGGATGCTCGTCTTCCCCTCCACCACTTCCCTCGGTGATCGACTGACCCGGGCCAATCCAAACCTGGGCCCGGCAGGCCTTGCAACATCCTGCAAGATCCTGCAGGATCAAGCCTGGGTCAATGCGACCCTGGCCCGACAGGATCCTCCAATATCTGGCGCTCTGACTGGCCCCCGTTTGCATGGACCCCCGTCTCTTGAACCCCGATTCCCATGCGTCCCACAGTTTCGGGAGAATCGACGATTACTTATGTCTGTGTCTGTGCGGGAGCGGGAGGGGGCAGGAGGCTGGGTGAGGACGAGGGGGAGGCGGCCCGCGCCGAGGTTCCGGGCCTCCCAAGGGGGGCTGGAGTGGATCCTCGATCATCGACCCTCGATCCTCGATCTTCGTTCCTCTATCCTTCATCGATCCTCGATGCTCGATGCTCGAGGCTCGATCCTCTATCCTCTATCCTCGATCCTCGTTCCTTGATCTTCAATCATCTACCCTCGATCCTCGATCCTCAGTCTCGATCCTCGATCTCCGATGCTGGATGCTCGAGGAGGAGAGGGGGGAGGCTGCCGCCGGAGAGGGGCGCGCGAGGCCGACGCCGGGAGGCGGCTGGCTCCTGCTCGCTGCTCACTGCTGACCCCTGCTGTTGCTCGCGGCCGCGGGCTCTCAGAGCCCCGAATCATCAGGGGTAACTCGGGTCAGGGATAACTCGGGTTCGTTTCTCGGGAATCCGAACCCGAGTTACCCCGGACCCGAGTTACCCCGGATATTTCGGGCGTCCAGAGCCCCGAATCATCAGGGGTAACTCGGGTCAGGGGTAACTCGGGTTCCTTTTCCGGGAACCCAAACCCGAGTTACCCCGGACCCGAGTTACCCCGGATAATTCGGGCGCCCAAGGCTCCGCGATGACAGCGCCGCCGCGGAGGCCGTGCTGCCCGGCGAGGGACAGAGATAGAGTCGGCGGCGAGCGAGGGGGGGGGGGAAGTGAGAAGGAGAAGGCCTTCTTGGAGGGCGGCGGGGCTTCTTAGGGACGCTCTGGCCTTCCGAGAGATGTTCCGTGTCTTCGGGGAAGGCTCAGACAACTTCTCAGAAGGCCAGGGGACTTCCGAGCCTTCTGACGAGGCCCGTTCCCCTGTCACTTCCCTCCCCCCCAGGCTGGCCGCCGAGAGAGAGAGGAGGAGGATCGAGGACAAAGGTGAAAGGATCGAGGATCGAGGATGCCTGGCGTTTTTGGGGGCTTTTCTGGGTCTCCTCGTCGCCGTGGCCGGATCCGCAGCATCTGGTCCTCCCTCCTCCTCCTCCTGCTCCTCCTCCTCTTCCTGCTCCTGCTCCTCCTCCTCCTTCTCCTCCTCCTCCTCCCTCCTCCTCCTCCTCCTCCTCCTCCTCCTCCTCCTCCTCCTCCTCCTCCTCCTCCTCCTGTCGACATTGGATTCCCAGGCCCAGACATGCTCGCGCTGTGAACAGAATCGCGACGGAAGGCTTTTGGCCATCTTCGGCCTCTGGGGCCCCTCGCAGGGACCCGAGGCCGTCAAGACACGGCTCGGGGCCAAAAGCCTGGGGAGAGGGTTGGGCCTTCTGGGGGCCCCGCAGTAAACAAAAACAAGACGTCGGATGTGTGGGAGGGGAGAATAAGAAGGCCTCCTAGATGGGGTCGGAGTAGATGGGGTCCGAAGATCGCACCGCATCGCCGATACACCCGCGATGCATCGACGATGCATCGGCGATGCATCGGCGATGCACCGGCGATGCATCGTCGACATCGGCGATGCATCGGCGACGTCGACGTGAAGCAAATCGGGCTGCACATCGAGCCGCATCGCCGACGTATCGGCGATGCGGCGCGATCCTCCGACCCCTTCTACTCCGACCTCCTCCTCCTCCTCCTCCTCCTCCTCCTCCTCCTCCTCCTCCTCCTCCTCCTCCTCCTCCTCCTCCTCCTCCTCCTCCTCCTCCTCCTCCTCCTCCTCCTCCTCCTCCCTCCTCCTCCTCCTCCTCCTCCTCCTCCTCCTCCTCCTCCTCCTCCTCCTCCTCCTCCTCCGCTCCTCCTCCTCCTCCTCCTCCTCCTCCTCCTCCTCCTCCTCCTCCTCCTCCTCCTACTCCGACCTCATCCAGGAGGCCCAGAGAGAAGCAGGCGGGCGAGTGTGCAGGCGGGAGGTCAGGGCCGGCGGGGGAGCAGCGAGCGGACCGGCGGGAGGGGAGGGGGCTGGGCGCGGTGCTCGCTCCTGCCCCTGCTCAGCCTCTTCTCGCTCCTCCTCCTCCTCCTCCTCCTCCTCCTCCTCCTCCCCCCTCCTCCTCCTTCCCCTCCTCCTCCTCCTCCTTCTCCTCCTCCTCCTCCTCCTCCTCCTCCTCCTCCTCCTCCTCCTCCTCCTCCTCCGCCTCCTCCTCCTCCTCCTCCTCCTCCCCCTCCTCCTCCTCCTCCTCCTCCTCCTCCCCCTCCTCCTCCTCCTCCTCCGCTCCTCGAGACTGCCTTCTTTTTCCCGGCGGCAGCCCAGGTTCTCCGGTGGGGTGGGGGGGGGGGGGCAGTCGCCGAGCCTTTCCGCTCTGGGCAGCCAGGCGCATCCTCGCGCGCACCAGCACTGCGCACCCCCCTTCGGACCCTGGCGCAACCGACAAGATCAGGTTATCCGGGGGGAAGTTGGGCGCGACGGGCCCCATGACAAATAAGATGTCCCCCAACGAGTAAAGTTTAATACATAACATGCAAACACCTAACATACTCCAGATTTCGTAATAAAGGGAGGGGGGTCTCATTTCGGGGGGGGTCTCTTCCAGGCCATCTTGGAGGGCCTGGGGGGGTCTGGGGGCGGTGTTTTGGAGGGTTCTCCCACGGGGGGGGGGTCTGAAATGGCTTGTCTTGGAGGGTCCAGACCCCCTCCCTTTTATTACGACATCTGGAGTAACCCAATCAAATCAAACACCTCAAACTATTATATGTCTTCTTCGCCGTCCGCATCCCAGTCGCCATCCTGCTGCTGCTCCGTGTCCTTCTTCTCTCTGGCCGGCGTCGTGGTGGGGCCTCCAAACGTGTTGACGAATTGGCTGATGTTCTGGACGATCTGCATGTCAATGTACTCCATGTCCCTCGTGAATCGGTTCAGCACCCTACCTGCACACGATGCGCTGTCCTCTCCGCTGCCCGTGCCATGCAGGAGAGGAGGAGGACGAGGAGGCCCCTCCCTTTTCCCACGTTTGCTTTCAATCCAGCGATCGCCAAGCCCGAACCTGCTTTACTAGCCAATGGCCCACCTCATCTTGCGCCAGCCTCTAGTCTCGACTTGTTTGTGTACGCCGCCATAGAGAAGGGATCCCCTTCCCAAGCGACAGTGTTTTCACGGAGGCGAGCTGAGATAAACTTGGGTAAGCCATACAAAACCAAGCTGCTCTATGCTACATTACGGAGCGGTCGGATAAGCTAAGCCACACTGAGACAGCCGAGTGCAACCTACTGCAGTGGCAATCCACACTGCACCAAGCAACACGTTTGCCAGCGTGGGCCCCAATCCACGAAGTCTAGCACCCTCGGTGTGCAAGCTAGGTGGTACAGTACATGTGGTGCAGTCCAGGCGCGCTGCAGGCAGTGCGGTGCAATCTGGGTACGTGGTGTACGCTGTGCCGTGGAAGCCACGTGGTGCGAGCCATGCGGTGGGAGCCATGCTGTGCATGCAGAGCGGTGCAGAGCAGGTGCTGCAAACAGCGCGCTGCAGACAGCACGAGGCGCCCGGGAGGCGCCCACCGGGCGACACCTCGGCAGACCCCGCCGGCGCACGGAGCGCCCGCGCGGCGCCCACCGGGCGAGACCTCGGCAGCCCCCGCCAACGCACGGGGCGCCCACGACGCGCCCACCGGGCGAGACCTCGGCAGGCCCAGGCAGCCCGCGGAGGGCCCACGAGGCGCCCACGGCCGCCCGCGAGGCGAGACCTCGGCAGACCCAGCCGGCGCACGGAGCGCCCACGAGGCGGCCACGGCCGCCCACTGGGCAGACCTCACCGGAGTATCACGTGTGAGCAAAAGCTCGTGATACAAACCCCTGAGCGCTAAGCGCTGCGTTAGGGAGGCCTGGGCACTGGGAGGCACACGGGCGAGGCGGACACGGGAAACGTGCGTTTCACGCCATGGGGACATGTTGTATCCCCCAGGGCCCCCTTACCAGCCGCACTGCCTTCAACACCCCGTAGCAAGAACTCTGCCACAATGGCTCATGTTTTCTGTTGTGGCAGGGCTGGATATCGTCCAGCCTTCGAGAGGTGATTTTCTAGCAAACGAGGCATTCGCATGTGAGACTTACCAGTCATAGGTGATGCGGCAGACACTGGGACGGCGAGTGATGCTCTTGAAATGATAGTGCTGAGGGTATGCTTGAGATCTCGGGGTGGTCAGAGTGTCGACGCCACAGCGGATATATTGAACCAGGAATGTGCAAACCAAGTTCCTGAAGTCTCGCTTCCTTGAGAACTGTTGAAGGATCGCCGCCAGGCCCGTGAATTATCTAGCCCCTGGAATCAAACCCTGCAGACATTCTAGCAATATTGGTCGCATATTGCCGATTCGGGTTCACCGCGTTCGATATGGCCCTGGCAATATGTATTGTCTCACTGTATTCGCGACTGACGGTGTAAACTGATTTTGTGGACGGGTCACAAGTTGCCAGCGTGCCCCATCTCGTACTAATAGGGGACATCCACATGTTGAGAACTGCGAGGGGGAGACAAGGACGAGCAATCTTGAGTAAGAACAACCAGCTCTGTTACAACTAGCGCCCACGTTCAGTCCTGCTCAACGGATGGCCACGACCAGAATCAATCAGTGGTCAATCTTGGAGCCACTTGGCTAGCGGCGTGCGCACACGAGGGAGAGTTGGATACGTGGTCCGTGCTGTCATCGATTCGATTCGGCTTGCTGGGCCGCTTGAGTGCGCGACTCGCTCGTCTGGCACGATCATCTGGAAACGGAGCGAGGCCAAAGACTGGCCATACAGGTAGAAAGCATAACCTCTGATCACACTGGCCGCACTCGACGTTTGGTCCAGGATGAGGCGGCTTGAATTTAGCTCGCCAGAACTTGGGCTGGACCCTCCAATGGCCGTCCGATGCTCAAATCGACCCCGATCTTTCGAGTGTTTGTGGGTTGGTCATCCAGTCGCGGCGGCGATGACAAGGATGGCTAGAACGGCCGAGGGTGCCTATCGGGTTCTTGTCGAAGAACAGGATCTGGCAAGACGGGAGTGCGGGCGTGCGCATCCCAACTGCCACAAATACTGCCCGAGGCAGTCTCTTTCAATTACGCTGCTCTTGCGGCCCTCATCTCCGTCTCTCCCGATGCCTTTCCATCCCTCCCCCTCGCTCCCTCTTTCCTTCTACTGATCCGTGCTTTCTCTGCGTCTCTGTCCCCGCCACTACTGTGGTCCTCTGCCCCTGCCCCTGGCCATCTCGCAGCATGAGCTTCAGATTATCCGTGCCCCTCCCTCTCTCTCTCTCTCTATCTAGGTCTATCTCTCTCTCTCTCTCTCTCTCCCCCCCCGTCTCCCTCTGCTTCTCTCTCTGTCTCTGTGTCTCCCTGTCTCCATCTCAAACTCACTCTCTCTCTCTCTCTCTTCCCCCCCCCGCGTCCCGCTTGCCCTCTCCCCCTCTCCCTGCACTCGTGCCGCCAACCCGTCGGATGCACCGCCTCTCTCGGCCGAGCGCCGACACGGATCACGGCTCCGTGCATCGGGCGCGTGGGAGCCAGCTCCGCGGACCACGCAGGGTGCCCGCGGAACCGGGGGCCAGGGACGCCCGATCCGGCGACGGAGCGCGCCGCCCCAAGTGCGTCTGGGAACGGGGCCCGCCGCTGATCCCTGCGCCTTCTATCCATGTCCGCGCTTCCGCGCCTCTCCACCTCCTCCCACCTTGCCATTCCATCTCCGCCTCTCCGCAGTGGCCCACCTCTCCTCTGCCTGAGGAGGCCGAGGGGGAGGAGGGTACGGAGGAGGACAAAGGGAGGAAGGCGAGGGGGTGGGCAAGGAAAGAAGAGCCTCCCTCTCTTCGCCCTGCTGCTTCCTCCTTGTCCTCCACAATTGCACAGCATCTAAATACTACTCTCCTCTCTCCCCCGCAGACGCCGGTGAGGTGTCCTGGCCTCCTCCGAGTACTGTTTCTTGCGCACAGGATTCCGCCGACTTGAAGAGTCATATGTGTTTCTCCAATCGGAATGTTTTCAATCCTTTCAGAACGGCGCTCCCGCTACAACGTTGGGTCCATTTTCCCCAACTCGGTCCTTCCCAATGATGCGCCCGCTGCAGCGCTGACATCATTTCATTGTTTCGACTCTTCCAAATCGTGGTCCTGCCGCAGCGTTGGCTTCGGTTTCGCGCTTCCAATCCTTCCAAATCGAGCTCCCACTGCAGCGCTGGTCTCATTTCCGCGGCTTCCGTCCTTCGAAATCGTGCTCCCGCTGCAACGCTGATCTCATTTTGCGCTTCCCGCTTTCCAAACCGCTCACTTGCATTTCCCGTCCTGTGTCATTTCTGGTTTCCCTCTGACTCTGTTGTCGAAATGAGTCGCATCCTCGACGCGACGACGTCAGCTGTGGCCGTGCTCTTCTATGCCATTCTATACCGTGCCTCGCATACTCTCTCGGAATACTGCCCTCTTCGGCATCCGACTAGGAGAATCGAGAGGATATCTACGCAATGGTAAGGGCTGGGAGGGAGGGGTAGGACGTCAGATATGAAGCTTGCGCACCTAGCTTGTCCGCACCTAGCTTTCACCTGGACGCCTCTGGCCTCCAGGGGAGCGTCATGATCAGGATCTCGAGGGGCATCCGGCCGTGGCGAAGAGAGGGGCCAGAAACCTCGGCCCTCGCCCTTCGAATTTCCCACCACATGCCTGAAGGGGATTCGGACAAAAACGGGTGCGATGCCCAACAGCAAGTTCTGTATAAAACCGACAGCGCCCGCTCTTGGGCAAGCGACTGTTCTCAAGCGGACAACGTCTGCGGCGACGCCGACAGCCAGGCCGGTTCAACGTCCGTAGACCCTGGGCGTGTGTGAGAGGCCTGGGCGGCCGCATCAACCTGAAGGGGCAACGCCGATCACCCGAAACGCACGCCAGAACAATGTCGCATCTGCGTCAAAGGGAAGCCCGTTCCCTTTGATCCCCAGGGGGGAGCGCCCCCACCCCTCGAACTGCTCCCCCTCGCTCGCCTCCGTCCACCTCGTCCGTCCAGGGTGACACCTTTCAGGGTTTTAGGGACCAGCCGCAAGACCTTCACAATAGATAGGCACTCTTGTCGTCGTCGTCCTCAGCGCCTACGTGGGCGTCAACGTCAACGCCGTCGTCGTCCTCGTACCGATCGTACACTCCGCTCGTTAAAAATAATATCGGTGAAACTAGGTCTTTGCTAAACTAGATCGGGAATTTAGGTGCCCGATTTCCGCAATTCCGAAGACTAGATCGGCCCGCTTACACTCTCATTTCCTACATCATATTTCAATATGAGACTGGTTTCCTTCCGCCCCAACATACGCGTGCATCTGGTAGTGTGGCGGTCGGCTCGGCTGCGCTGACTTTGCTGATTGGGGTCCATACATACGCGATCATTCTAGCGTGAGTTTGCACGGTCAGACCAAATCACTCTGGGCTCCAGATCTATACAGGGTCAGTCTGGAATCAGCCGACTGACCCCGGACTGACCCCGGACTAATCCCCAGACTGACCCTGGACTGACCCCGGACTGACTGACCCTGGACTAACCCCAGACTAACCCCGGACTGACCCCGACTGACCCCGGACTGACCCCGGACTGACCCCGGACAGACCCCGGACGGACCCCGGACGGACCCCGGACGGACCCCGGACGGACCCCGGACTGACCCGGACTGACCCCGGACTGACCCCGGACTGACCCCGGACTGACCCCGAATATTGACCCCGGACTGACCCCGGACTGACCCCGCACCGACCCCAAACTGACCCCAGACTGACCCCGGACTGACCCTGGACTGACCCCGGTCTGACCGCGAACTGACCCCGGACTGAATCCGGACGGACCCTGGACTGACCCCGGACTAACCCCCGACTGACCCCCGACTGACCCTGACCCCGGACTGATGACCCCAGACTGACCCCGGACTGACCCCGCACCGACCCAGGACTGACCCTGGACTGAACCCAGATTACATGGCAACAACAATATAATTTCAGCAACGCTCCCGGGGACATATACTGAATATTCAGTCGGTAAAATTAGACTCGGTAAAAATGGATCTCGGCTGCACTAGGTCGGTATCTGGTATCTGATTTAAACGAGTGGAGGGTACAGATCCCCCCCCTCCCCTCCCCCTCTCCTCCACGCCGCAGCGGGCTGGCCTTCGCGCGGAAGACAGAGTGCATCATCTCCTTGTGCAAGAAGTGGCTGGACCTGGGCGCGCGTGCGAGCCGTACCGAGAGGCTGCGCGCTGCAGGCGATGGCAACGGCGACAAACTGGACGCACATCGATGTGCCGCCGCACCATGTGTTCTCGACGCTCCCAAGAAGACGAAGCCGGCACCGCGGCAAATCCACGGGAAATCTTGCGTCCGAGGCGGAATTTGCCGAGGCGGCCGAGGCGCCCTCCCCAAAACGTAAGGCCGCGCGTCGGGACACACGGCGCGGTGACATGTGTGTTCTTGTGGACAGGACTCTTGTACACCACCACCACAAGCAGGCTTGGTCCAGCACAAGACCGCGGAGTGGAGCTTGTGTCCAAGATCGACATCCCCTTCGGACATGCTGTTGTACAGCACCCCCCACACACACAAGCTGGTCTGGCACAAGGAGCGCGCGCTGGGGCGGCGGCCATAGATCGGCCCCCGGAGTTCTGCCGGCGGCGCACCCCTGGCGCAGGGCAGGAAAGGGCGGGCCTTCTCAGAGGCTCGGGCCTCTGGCCGTCTGAGAGGCGTCCAGACTTTCTCCGAAGCCCCGCCGCCCTCTCATAGAAGGCCTGCCCCCGCTCACCTCCCCCCTCGGCGCGCCGCCGAATTCTAAGCAGCCCCAAACTCCGAGAAGCGTTCGCGCAAACGGGTTGAGCTTGGACCATACGTACCTCCCGTCGGGTGGCGAGGAGGTCGCGGGAGGGGTGGGGGGAGCGGGGGGCAATTACGGTTTGGCAGTGCAAGCGATCCTGGTGTCCATGAATCGGCTTCCCAATATATAGTCTTTGATCTGTATCCGTGCATCCCACATCTCAAGACAAGGATTGGTCTCACGATCGATCGGCCTCACGAACTATTCCATTGATCCCACCACCAATACCTATCTACACATCTCACTATCTATCTGTTTATCTATCTATCTATCTATCTATCTATCATATTCCGACCAATTGGTTTATCTATAGATTTGCATGCCGATTTTCCATTCCAATTTGCACGCGGATGTGTGTTTCGATCTTTGGTTGTATTTCCATTCCGATGTGCGTTCCGTGTGGATTTTGGATCTGCAATTCGACTTGCATTTCGTTATGAATTTAATTTACCGTCAAATTTGCAAGCATCCGCGGTACAACCACGGGACCACCGCGGGACAATCACGAGGCACCCACGAGACACTCACGGGACAACCGTGGGAAAACATGTGACAACCACGGAACAGCCTCGGGATAACCGCGGGACACCACCCACGAAACAACCACCGGACAACTGCGGGACACTGATCTGACTGCGCATCGGTTCACAACCAATCTACGACGATCGCAACTCATCGATCAATCTCACGATCTGTCGCCCTCATCATCTGCTCACCGGCATCACAGTCACACGATCTCTACCGATCAAGGCACAGGTCGATCGGTCTCACTAGCCGTCGGCCTACAGACGGGACAACCGGAAGACAACCGCCAAGACAACCATGGGGCAACCGCGGGGCAACCACGGGACAACCACGGGGCAACCGCAGGACGCCCAGGGAACAACACACAAGACAACCACGGGAGAACCACGGGAGAACCACGGGAACACCGCATGATGACCGCGGGACAGCCAAAGACAAGCCAAAGACGATGACGGGACAGCCGCGGGACAGCCACGAAACAACCAGAAGATAACCGCGCGGCAACAAAAGGACAACCGCAACAAACACCCTTGCGCACGGCCCAGACTCTGGGGGGGGGGGGACCGCGAGGACAAGACCCCGCGCAACTTCGCCTCGCCTCGCCCCCCCACCACGCGCGCGGCAAACAAGACACGGACCGAAGTCGAACTCAATGTCCTGGATGGTGGAT